GCTTTGTATTCAGGCTCTTTTCTCAGTTATATAACCAAACACAGAAGTGGTAACAAGTTGTTATCACAAAAATATGAAAAAAAGAAACAACTTACGTATTTTTAATATTTGTATTTTAGAGCAAACTGAAGAGAAGATGATTTGAAGCAAAGTTTCATTAATGCCTGCAGCTATTTCCCAAATGCACAGCTTTGTATATTATACAACAAAGTATTGTTCTTATACCATGAGCCTAAATTATGCCAGAACAACTTTATCATTTTCCATCTCTTCTACCTTCTTAAATTTACCTCTTACTACAGTTTATTGTAGTTATTTTAAACACTGCATTTTACTGTAAGTTCCTTGAAGATAATTCCTGTGTTTAATACATTTTTAATGCCCTATGGCACCTGGCACAGTACCTTAAATTCAGTACGCTGTTTGCTGTAACGAGTCATTTAAAGTAAAACAAATCACAACTAAAACTACTGCAAGACACCCGTCATAGATTCTTTCCTTAAAAAAATTTCAAATTTCATGTTTTCTGGGTTGGCCTACTTCAACAACTGCTAGTACTAGTTTATTCCTTTCTCCCAAACTCATCAAACCAAATATATAATATCTATATGTTTTACTGAATTTAAATTATGCCTCAGTAAAAAATATTTTAGTTTTTTACAATTAAGTAGATAAAAATCTCTATTGTTTAAGTTGCACAATGAGGATAAGTAGAAGTATTAGCTGTTGAAGAAGTTTGGTGGAGGTTATTAGAATATGTGTTTCTTATCTTCTAACAAGTGAAAAATATTAAAATGTGGTTTAAGATAACAGCTAATCATTTTAATCTAGCCCCTTTATAGTCCTACCTGCCTGAGATGACCAACTCTCTTAATTTTTCTTTCTAATTCTATTAAATCAGTTGCTATACTATGCTGGAAATGTAGTTGTTATATTGGCTAGAAAACAAGGGCACTGGAATATGCCTCCTTGAAAAAGTTTCTTATTTCTGTCTTTTGTTCTGGTCATTTGCTTTTCTCTCATAAAATAAAATTAAATTAAAGAGAATTGCTCTTTAAAAAAAAAACAGGACATTTACTTGCTCCTTCTAATTTACCTACTTCTTACTTCCTAATTGCCCTGTGCCAGAAATGCATTTAGCACGCTCTGCCTTCCGCTCACCACCTCCAGAAGCGGCCTACTTCCCTCCAGAACAGCCCCTATCCAAAATGCGGTTGGCTCTAGATAGGTCAGTCTATTTGGACTATGGCGATTTCAGTCTAAACACCTTTAGCTGACACTGCTATGGTTCATGATAGCACTAACCTCTTTTAGTGGCTCAATTCAGGTTTTCATTTGTTCATGCTACATTACTAGAAATATTTCAGTTCATGCAATCCTCCTTTTTCTGACTTACAGGTTCCATTTGGGAATTGTACAAAATAAGCAAAATGAGAAAACCAAGGCTTACAGTGGCCAGCGCAGGGTCACCAAGTCAACAGGGAAGGTGATAGTTCTCTCAGGAGTCATCAGAAACCCTTTGGAACATACTAAAATTATAGTTGCCCTCACTCAGTGTCCAAACACATCTAAACTTGAAAATACAGTTTCCTCAACTAAATGGTGAGTTCCTCCAGAAATATGTTCTCACACCTTCCCTAGCATCAAAGATACTCAATGACTGCTTGCTGACTACCTCTAGAGAATAAATGAAAAATAAATAAAGAACAATTATTATCTACTAGAAATTCTAGCACTAGTTGCCTACTAGTTTTGAACTTCTAGACTTGAACAGATTCAGTAATAGCTTTATCTCGGAAACACCTAAAACATGAATCCATCTATTTATATTTGTCCTACCAACCCAATGTAGAACTCTAAAGAGACAAGTACATTCTCATTAAAAAAACACAGGGGTAACTCCTTCGGGTCCCCTCCCACTGTGGGAACTTTTCTGTCCACTCAGTAAATCCTACTTTCTAAAAAAATAAACCCCAAAAATCAGCAACAACAACAAAAATAAAATTTTGCCTAATTAGCCTTATGAAAGAAAACAAGATTACAACATAATTTAAAATTCTCCATAGGGAATGAAATAAATTCTACTGCATTCACAACAAAAAAGCACACATCTAAAGCTATCTATCTGCTACATGCTGTACTTTGATATGAAAGTAAAAAAAAGAATTATTTAAATGATCTTGAAACAGTTTGCTTTTTTGCCAGAAAAATGATATATTACTGGTCAATTACAATATGGCAGTTGCATTTTTTTCATTCTATTAAATTTCTACTGGAATATTAGTTATTCCAGTAGAGATTCATTGTAACTTACATAAGTACACTGAAGACACTTTTTTTAAATGGGAAAAACAGAAAAGAGAGTGCAAGAAATGTACTCGGGTATCTATCAGTACACTTAAGAGTTGTATACTTAGCCGGGCTCGGTGGCTCAGCCTGTAATCCCGCGCCTTTGGGAGGCTGAGGTGAGTGGATTGCCTGAGCCCGCGGGTTTGAGACCCACGTGGGCAGCGAGACCTCATCTCTACAATAAATCAAAAAATCAGCCGGGCGTGGTAGCGCATGCCTGTAATTCCAGCCACTTGGAAGGCTGAGGCGGAAGGATCGCCGGAGCCCAGCAGGCTGAGGCTGCGGTGGCCGGGAGCGGCCACTGCACTCCAGTCTGGGTGACAGAGTGAGACTCCAACTCAAAAAAAAAAAAGAGTTGTATACTTTACTGAATTTGAATGCAAGTTATATCTTGGTAATAAGATTTAAGAAAGAAAAGAAAAAGGCCAAGAATAAAAGTAGTATTTAAAATTCTTGGCCAGATATCGTGGCTAACGCCTGTAATCCCAGCACTCTGGGAGGCTGAGACAGGATGATAACTTGAGTTCAAGACCAGCCTGGGCAACATATTGAGACCTTGTTTATACAAAAAAAATTTAAAAATTAGCCTGGCATGGTGGTATAGCCTGTAGTTCCAGCTACTCGGAAAGCTGAGGTGGGAGGATCACTTGAGTCCAAGAGTTCAAGACTGAAGTGAGCTATGACTGCATCACTGCACTTCAGCACGGGGGACAGGGATACACCCTGGCTCTTAAAAAAATAAAATTAAGGCCAGGTTCAGTGGCTCAGCCTGTAATCCCAGCACTTTGCGAGGCCGAGGTGAGTGGACTGCCTGAGCTTGCGGGTTTGAGACCAGCCCAGGCAACTTGGCGAGACCTCATCTCTACAATAAAATAAAAAATAGCCAGGCGTGATAGTGCATGCCTGTAGTTCTGACTACTTGGAATGCTGAGGTGGAAGGATCGCCGGAGCCTAGCAGGTCGACGCTGGGGTGGCTATGAGCATGTGTGCCACTGGACTCCAGCCTAGGCAAAGGAGTAAGACTCCAACTCAAAAAAGAAACAAAACAAAAATAAATAAATAAAATAATAAATATATTCACAATATAGAATAATATATAAGTATAATAATAACTCCTTAAATTCTCTATTATTCATTAAACATATATTTGAGTGCTTTCCTTTGTTCCAGACATAGTATAAGATGTTGATGATAAAACTATAATTAAGACACAATCGAAACAATAATTAGCTTTATAAAGTTAGTAATCTAATACTGGAAAAAGACAAGTGAACAAGAAATTACGATGCAGTGTGTGATAGATGATATAATAGGAATAAGCACAGGAACTTGGGAACACACAATGGGATATCTAATTCAGCTTAGGAGAACCAGAGTTTTCAGACTGCTTTTTCACCCATATAACATCACACATGCTAAAATACATCATTTATTTTTTAAGGTGAAAAGATCCACCATCATTTCCTTCTATTCTCTGTACGTCTAGAAGTTAAATTTAACCTTTTGTCATCATCATAAGATACACTAAAAATCAGATTCTTCATATTGTCTCTCAAGTAATGGCCATACCCTAAAAATAAACATCAGTAGAGGTAAAAATGATTCAGGTCACCAGCCTATGAAACATTTCAGTATGATGCACAAGGTCTCTGAACCAAGCAAGATGCCCAAAGTAAGTTAGCTGCCACTGTTACAGCTTTCTTTAAAGAAAGTTCTGCATGTAGCAACTCCACATAGAAAGTAGACAGAATTTCACTTAATGTTTAAATTAATCTCCCCCCCCACTCAGAACAACTTCTTTGCCAGGCTCGGTGGCTCAGCCTGTAATCCCACGCCGTGGGAGGCTGAGGTGAGTGGATTGCCTGAGCCCGCGGGTTCGAGACCTGCCTAGGCAACTTGGCAAGACCTCATCACTACAATAAATTAAAAAATTAGCCGGGTGCGCACGCCTGTAGTTCCAGCTACTTGGAAGGCTGAGGCGGAAGGATCGCCAGAGCCCAGCAGGTCAAGGCTGCGGTGGCCGGGAGCGGCCACTGCACTCCAGTCTGGGTGACAGAGTGAGACTCCAACTCAAAAAATAAAAAATAAAAAACAACAAAAAAACCCAACTTCTTCAAATGCTTAGTGCATGACACAAGTTATTTAGAAAAATTTTGTTTGTCCAAAAGGAAACAATTTAATTAAATGGGGGAGAAAACGGTGATAAAATAATAAGAACTTATAAAAATTAAAAATAAAAAAAAACTAAGCAAACTCTAGGACAATCTATCACCAACAGTCCTAAATATGTGAAAGCAGAAACAGAGAATCATACGATAATTAAGCTGAGCCTGAAACAGCCTGCATGAGTTTTGACCAGGTAGCAATACAGAAGCACATGTCTCACCTTGGTTTTACACCTACATCCCCGCAACACATGTTTATGCACAATGTAACCTACTTCTCTCCAGAAGAGCAGTAAAATTAATAAATTGCCCCGACTCTACCCCCAATGAAAAGCACAGAGAAGTGGCTAGCAAAACTATTTTCTTCATAAATCTGGGACAAACAGAAAGTTTACACAAATAGTCTCAGATCACAGAAGACAGAAATGCAAACAAGGGAGTGTTTACAGACTCAGATGATTAAACAAGACAGACAAACCACTTTACCTGTCAGCCTTCATCAGAAGGTTAGGTGGGAGCTCCAAGAGCTGGTTGTGTTGCACATCCAAAACCTCCACCGAGGTTCTCTCCAGTCTTTCAGGCAGACTTGCCAACTGGTTGTGTCCTGCCAGTAGTTTCCGGAGACTGCTATTACAAAATAAGCTGAAAAAAGGGACAAAAGACAAAAGGCAACATACTTAGAGCTAACCTGGGGTAAAGACTGAAAAATGAATAGGAGTAGGAGAATATTTAAAATTTTCTCTCTAAAAATCATAAATCAGAACAACTGCAAATTCATTTTAATATAAATTCAAACTTGGAAAGCTATAAGTCTTTTATACTTTAAAAAAAGAGGGAGCGAAAAGGAAACGTTGAGCATAAAAAGGAATGTTGAGCAAGGAAGCTCTACATAGTGGAAAACAAGTTTCATAGATGTAGCCCTGAAGAGACCAGTCTCATCTTGTCAGATACACAAGGCAAGGGTATATGATTCTCCCAGGTAGGGCTTGTGTCTTACATTACCCTAGAATGCTGAATGTTTTACATATAACAGATTCTGAATAAATACAGCTGAATTACTTACAATCTCCACATTATTTCATCCTTTATTTAAAGGATTCTTCTATTCAACTAACTTTTACAAATGTCAACTGAGAAAATGTTATGTTTTTCTTCAGTGGTATTTCACAATCATAAGTGTTTCTCCTTTGCCTCACTTTCCTGGCTGCATATTTTTGTTTTCTCTACCTTAATCTTAGACCAAGGTAGAAACCCCTTCCTGATTAAGAATATACTTAATCCACTGTTTTCTTGTGAGACTCAAACAAAGCTTAGTCATGTTTCTTCTAAGCATTATCAGCACTTTTAGATGAATATTTGTTAATCTTATGTAAACCTGCATTATGACCACTTCAGCCTCCTCCAACAGTTGCAGAGACTAAAACAGGCTGGGGGTTTAAACAGACATCTGGGGGCTATGGAAAATTTGCATCATGGTCACCTCAGACCAAAAATTCATTTACTCTGCTGTCTCAGAACGAGGCTCCTTCATCCATCTCCTGTTTTCCCCCATCCTGACCTCACTCACACTCAAAATTATTTTCTAGTTAACTAATTTAATTAATTGACAAAAATTATATATATAATGTACATGATGTTTTGATGTATGTATATAATATGAAATAGCTAAATCAGGCTAATTAAATGCATTACTTCACATACCTATCTTTTTTTGTGATAAGAACATTTAAAATCTACTCTTAGCAATTTTCAAGAATACAAGACATTGTTATTAACTATAGTCACAATGCTGTACAATACAGCTCATGAACTTATTCCTCCCGTCTCATAGAAATTTTATATCCTTCAATCTACTATAGTTAAAAATCACCATACATTACATCATAACTTTATCCACCTAAATATCAAATTGAGATTGTTTGTTCACAAGATGCCAACAACCTGCCTCAGCTCTGTGAGACTACAGGCCTCAATTAAAGATATCTGACTTTTCAGGTTTAGATACCAGTGTGACGAGACAGATTACCCAGGCCAGTCAGATTATCCATGCAGTCAGTTCTCACAGGGCAGTCTCTGCTTTGGTCACTCCAACTCAATAATTTAGCATCTGGGTTATCATACTCATGTGTGTGTGTTTGTGTGTGTATAATATATATATTACATATGTATACACATACATACATATATATATTCTTTAACACATACGTAACTGAAAGACAGGTAAGAAAAACCTTTATCTTGATTTCCCCCCAAAAAAAACACAAAACGTAGATTTGATTAAGCAAAGGATAAGTATTAAATGCTAATTATGGGATTTAGTTTAATTCTTTTGGATGCTATCTGAACATTAAAATACTTTCCCTTTCAATACATTTCCACTTATAAATAATTATTTCTATTTTGTAAACTCTTCACATACTTTACTTAGACAAAGTGTGACTACTAAATCTATTTTAATAAATCACTGTCTTGCCTGAATATTATATCAACAGTAGGACTCATATAAAGTTTGCAACTGAACAACACCATAAAGAAAACAATATATATTCTTTTTTCCCATGTTAAAACATACACACACTACTGTTTAAATTATTTGACAACAGAGCATTTGGGATTTGCATTGAATAAATATTTGTTTAGATCACCAAAAAGACTGAACTGAAGCAGAGTAAATTTAAGATTAATAAATTTGGGAGGAAAATGGAAAAAAACACCAGTTATATTGTTTGTATATATAAATACTATAAAATATCTTTGTAGCCTACAGCAAAAAGAGACCTTAGATACCAACGTACCATCTGTTAGATTGACGAGTGGGAAGGGAAAAGAGTAGAGAAAAAATAGGAGGAAAGATACAGTAAAACATTTTTCCAACAAATTATTTTTTTTCCTACTAGTAGTAACCTGTTTTCACTTTTGCTGTCCCTCTTCCAAAAGGAGGTGTGGGGACAGGGACACAAACACACACACACACGCTCTGAATGATGGTGATGGGCTGCACTGAGTCACTTAAATCTTTAGTCAACACAATACTCTAGGGCAGAAAGCATTTTTAAATGGAACAGATTTACAGGTATAAAAACCAACCATGCTGCCCATCAAAAGAGGACTGGATTAAAAAAAATGTGGTACATATACATGATGGAATACTACACAGCCATAAAAAAGAACAAAATCATGAACTTCGCAGCAACCTGGGTGGAACTAGAGTTTATAATGCTGAGTGATCCCTCACAGAAATAAAGATCTGAGTATCACATGTTCTCATTCATAAGTGCACCTTGAACATCTATTGTAATACTATAAGCAAAGGATTGACAGTGGCAGGAAACTATGGGGGGGAGCAGGGAGGGGAAGGGAGGTGGGATTAACGGTAGTCAATATCTGTCTAGGGACGGGGGGACACCCCTTATCAACAAGGGTGCCTGAATGATGCATATTTGCATACCTAACCTTTAACTGTATCCCACAATTTTAAAATAAAAAATATGTTTTAAAAAAAATATGGCTGAGGAACAAAATGAAATGAATGGAGCTTTTCAGGGACTTCAAATATAACTCAGACTTCTTTTATGAGACCTACATCCTAATACAGTGTTATCCAACAGAAATATAATGTAAGCCACATATGTAATTTTAAATTCTCTAGCAGCCTCATTTTAAAAAAATAAAAATGAAGCAAGTTAATTACTTGAGCGCATTTTATTTGACCTAAAATATACCTAATAATATCTTAATGTACAATCCATTAACTACTATTAATATTTTATATTTAGTGTATATTTCACACTTATAACATTTCTCAATTAAAACTAGTGACATTTCAGGTGCTCAATAGTCACCTGGCTAGTGGCTAGGGGCTACCATATTAGATAGCTCAATATGAACTCATTTATTAGACTTATCAAGAAGTGCATTTCAGGCCAGGCTTGGTGGCTCACGCCTATAATCCCAACACTTTGGGAGGCCGAGGTGAGAGGATTGCCTGAGCCTGTGGATTCGAGACCATCCTGGACAACTTAGCGAGACCTCATTTCTACAATAAATCAAAAAACTAGCCGGGCATGGCGGCACGTGTCTGTAGTTCCAGCTAATTGAAAGGCTGAGGTGGAGAGATTGCCTGAGCTCAGCCTGGGTGACTGAGAGCCTGGGTAACAGAGTGAGACTCCAACTCGAAAAAACGAAGCGTATTTCATGATTCTTGCTCTTTACAAAAACAAAAGAGCAATATTGATCATATCCTTCAAAGATCGTGTATTGAAAGTAAAAGTTTGCTCCCAAATAGTGACATGACTCTACAATATTTTCACTAATGTTTTGACTATACATCCTCTGTTCAGTGACTGGCTGAGAATGGTGGAAATAGCTAGTTGAAGCAGCTACTAGTCACAAGTAACTATTTAAATTTAAAATAAAATAAAAAATTCAGTTCCTTAGTCACCTCAGCTACATTTTAAGTGATCAATACTGGGCATCACAGATATAGAGCATTTCATTCATCACAGAAAGTTCCAGAGGACAGCAGTGGTTAGATTACTCTTTTAGTCATTAAATGCATGACTAGTCACTAATAGTCCAAAACTATTTTGGAACAAAATTTGTCAACTTGAAAAAAATCTGTCTAGATTTATGGACTGCAGAAGTCATCAATGGCTGCTTAGCAAATCTCAACATTAAAGTGAAAATTATTAAATAAAAATAGTAACACATTTAAGAAAAAAAAAGGAAAGAGACGTTCTTGAACCTTTGACTCCAAATTTCACATCAATAAAAAGACAATCTAGTTTGCTCTTTCTAGGTTTAATGATCTAGCAATCTTTTCCCCCTCAAAGTTATATTCTAGGGAAAACAAAATTTATTTATGGGTAAGGCAGACATGTTAAGTCAATGGATAGAAGTAGAAGATTCATTTTGATTATTGTAATATTTAATAAATAATTTAATAGAAAAAAAAGAAATAGAAGCTTTTGAAATGATTAGGGTCCTAGAGGTGAACCAATTATATTGTTTGCTGAATCTTTGAACATTTCTTTTGGCTTACTTAAAAATTTCCATCAAGCACCACTGCCTACATGGCTCTGAAAAGTCTGGCTGAGAGTCCAAGCCTCACTCTACTCCTCACTGCATGAAGACAGTATGTGACTTGAAGACATCACATGGGGTAAAAGACACCAAATAAGGGGTTTATGATAACACTTTTTTAGGGGTTTATGATAACAAACACGGAATCAGCATCTTTTAAAAAATTGTTCATCTATTTTGAGATACTCTCACTTGATCTGTAATACTTACCGGGCTGGAAGTTCACATATTTGATTATGGCCAATATCCAAAACTTCTAGCTTTCGGCTTTCACATACCCACTCAGGCACATTTTCTAAGCAGTTCCTAAATACAAGAACATAAAATTAATTGTTTGATTGACTCTGGCCTCAAATGCAGTTCTAAATCCAAGATAATTTAAAAGAATAAATAAGCCAGGCTCGGTAGCTCTTCCTGCAATCCCACGCTTTGAGAGGCTGAGGTGAATGGATTGCCTGAGCCTGCGGGTTAGAGACCTGCCTGGGCAACTTGGCAAGACCTCATCTCTACAATAAATCAAAAAATTGGCTGGGTGTGCTGGCGCACGCCTGTACTTCTGGCTATTTGAAAGGCTGAGGCAGAAGGATCACCATAGCTCAGCAGGTCGAGGCTGCGGTGGCTGGGAGTGGCCACTGCACTCCAGTCTGGGTGACAGAGTGAGACTCCAACTCAAAAAAAAAAAAAGAATAAATAAAAATTTACATGAAATACTAAAGTAAAGTGAGTATTAATCAAAAGAATATGTGCATTCACTTTATTCTAGAAGCTAGATGAACTGTCTGGGCAGAGAACATGAACAGATATTTCTCAGAAGAAATACAAGTAGACAACAAACACATAAAAAAAGGCTCAACATCACAAATCATCAGAGAAATGGAAATTAAAACCACACTGACATATTATCTTACACCAGTCAGAATGGCTATTATTAAAATGTCAAAAAGCAACAGATGTTGGCATGGCTGTGGAGAAAAGGGAAAGCTTGTAATACACTGTTGGTGGGAATGTAGATTGGGTCAACCTCTATGGAAGACAGTATGGAGATATCTCAAGGAATTAAGACAGCTACTATTTGACCCAGCAATACCACTACTGGGTATCTATCCAAATAAATCATTATATAAAAAGGACACCTTATAAACTTATATGTTTATCACTGTGCTATTCATAATAGCAAAGTCATATAACCAACCTAAGTGTCCATCAATGACAGATGGGATAAAGAAAATGTAATATATACACCACAGAATACTATGCAGCCACAAAAAAAGAAATGAAATCATGTACTTTGCAGCAACATGGATGGAGCTGGAGGGAACGAATTCAGAAACAGAAACCCAAAAGTTACATGCTCTCACTTATAAGTGGTAGCTAAACAACGGGTACATATGGACTTAAAGATGAAAATGATAGATACTAGGGACTCCAAAAGTGGGGAGGGAAGGAGAAAGGTGAGGACTGAAAGATTATCTGTTGAACACAATGTTCAATATTTGGCTGATGTGTACACTAGAAGCCCAATCCCCACTACCATGCAATATATCCATGTTACAAATAGGCACATGTACTCCCTGAATCTAAAACAATTTTTTTTAAAAAGATGAATTGTGATAGAAGAAATAAATTTAAAAAAAGAAAGGAAAGATATAATTACTTCATCTGCATCATTTCTAAAGTCTAAAAAAAAATGTCTGGTTCCAAACTGACTTTCCATGAGAAGTTTAGGGAGAGGATGTGTTACATTAGAAATAAAAACACATATACTTCCAGTTAAGTCAAAAAAAGTCAAATGGCATAAGACAGTTTTATTTTCAAGTTTCGTCCTAAACATTAAAATACTTCCCAACTCCAGTTGGCATCATTAAAATACAGCCATGGATAAATGGGAAGAGAGAGAAGCAGTTTTAAAATGGTAGCAGTGAAAAGGTTCACTGACAGTTAAGACTCAGAAATCATTATTTGAAAACATTTAATTGGGTTTTAGACTGCAATTACAATTCCTAGAAACAAGAGAACTAAACTAATGGTGATTTTAACTATTAAATGAAATGACCATTTCTTAGACAAATCTACTCTATTTGAATGTGTCCCTAGCCATATGTGGTAAGTCTTTTACCAACCTTTTAAAATATGTGTAGTCACTGGGCACAAGGAATCTAAAGTGGCATATATATTATGACTATAATTATTTATGTACAGATGAATCATTTTGTGAAAATATGATGCTTGGGATAAGAACTGTAAGATATTACAGGAAAAGGGAAAATAGTGTGATATTAGGGTGGTGGAATTACGCATGATTTAGAAACCATGTTATTTAACTCTGCTATTATATCAACTTTCCAATTAAAATATAAAAATAGAAGGTATTATTTTCCACATGGATCTGGCTTTGAAGCTTTAAAGATGACACATTTAATTTTATTTTATTTCATAATAGCTAACCTCTAAAACATCTCTCAACAGGAGAGTGAAAGTACTCCTTAGCAAAACCAACTTCAACAAATAAACACACTCCTATTAGTGATAAAATAACTTAGAACTCTGTGCTGAGGAACTCTAAGGACCTAAGTAAACACTATGATAGATGACAGAGTGGGAGGTGATGAGGTAGAGCATGTTCCAGTGAACATTTTGGAGATGAGAGTGGCAAAAGAAAGACAAGTATCATCTAAGTGGCAGAATTCAGGGACAAGCATGACACAAGAGTTTCCAATTCAGTCTCATTTAGGGGTTTCAAGGGTACCATTTGCCAATTCCATTCTATAAATAAAAGGAAAGTAGATTAACTCTATGATCAACTCTCAGAAATAAATCTGCTCAAGATATTTATATTCACCTGTGTATGCAAACCCTATTCCTGTACTGTCCTTATTTTTTTTATTGATTAAAGTAAAAACCAAGGCTAACAGGGCAAAAAAAGCTTATCAGGTAATGTCTGATTCCAAGTTCATTAAATAAAACTGATACATGAAACACCACCCGAATAATTTTGTAATTACAAATTTATACTTTAATTGTAATATTCTCCCAATAGCTAAATACTGACACTGCTTACATAATTATAATTAAGCATATATTAAAATGCTAAGTATTTGTACTTTCAGTAAAAAAGGCAAAATTCTATACATGAAAAATCACATAGCAGTTATGATTATCAAGTATGGTGACTGTTAACAAACATATTGGAATTTACACACCTTCAATGAGGTAAAGTTGTCACCTTGAGTGGGAAACTGACTCTGAAGCATTCAGAAAACTTTGTGTATTTACTTTGGAAATAGCTTCAGAATGAGTCTCAATTTTAACATTCAATGTTAAAATTTTTAAAGTTTACTTTGTGTAAATACATATTATAGATATAGTCACACCTTTGTGCCTTCAGGAAAAAGCTTTCTACAATATTTGTGGAAACTGAAATAAATATGATATACTGCAGAAGCAAATTTTCATAAAAGTTAAAATGGTCAGCCTATTTGAAAAGGAGCTAAGAAAAATGAGCTGGTTGTACAAATTCTTTTTTTGGTAGGCTTAGTTGTTATTTTCTAAGACTTCTTAGCAAAGAGATATATGTCCAAAATAACAAAGTAAGGGAGGAAGCAAAATAAATAAAGCACTTAAAAAATACAACAAATACTATTTCAAGGAAAGACACAAAAAGACATGGTTAATATAATTAAAGAGCTACTGGATCTGCAAGCCTTATGACCTTCAACTCACTAATCTTTCAAGCCCTGGTGTTCAAATTGGTATACACAGTGACTCCCTGATGCTCTGGTTTGAAACACAAGGTATATATATTTTTTTAGTTGACAGATATATATACACACATTTTTAGAGGATATACACATCTGTAGAGGATAAGTAAAAACCACTAAATTTAGTTTTTATCATTTACCTTCAATATATAAAAAAGTGCTTCTGCATAAGAATTATCAGACAGAATTATCTTAATAATTTTTAAGTAGACTCTAGAATGCTCTAAGACTTGACTTCTTACCTTGAAACATCCATGTAGGACAAGTAATTGGGAACTGGGTAAACATCAAGTTGAACAAGTTCTAGGAGGAAAAAAACACATAAAAACATTACTATCCAAATGACAAAGAGACTCTTTTTGTATGTAGAATATTATTACTGTGTCTTATTCTCAATTGTTTGTTTAGTTTAGGAAATACAATACATCCATTTGTTCAACTTTGAAACTACAGAAAAGTAAAAAGAATCTTTAATTAAATCACAAGATCTTATTCAGAGATTGAGATAAATTGCTCATTCTACTTCCTACCTCATTCCATCCATTTAGGAATACATGCTAATGTTATGCGTGCTAAATTACATGTGGAAGATTAACCGAACGAATACCGTCTTTTTAACATTCAGGGTTCCTTCCATTAAACCAAATGCATCTTGTCTGTTGCCTTCATTACTCCATTAAAACACCACTCCAGAGGGTCACAAATTACTTCCTCTACTCAAATTTGAAACTCTTACTCAAAACTTTATGCAGTATTACACCAATGTCCTCTACGGCTTTCTTTCTTAGACAGAGTAGTTTCTAAATCTTTCTGCTTCTCTAAACACAAAGTAATTTCACAGGTTCACCTCCTATCTGGATGCACAGCTAACTGTGAGAGGTTTCTAAGCTGACTTCTGGTACCAGTGCTCTCCTAGCTTCTAGGTACCTTACTCCCTGGCTTACAGGTACCATCTTTCAGCAGATGAGTCTCAAATCAACATCTTACAGTCCTGACTGCAAGTTCCCATTAGCTCGCACGTGGCCCAACCCGAAAACCTGGATTAGTGGAGTAGAGGATTACCTCCCTCTTCTCCCAAAAATGCACTCTGTACACTACTTTCTCATCAACAGTCTTAAAGCATCACTTCCAAACATCTTCTCCATTTAAGAATCTCTACTTGTTCTCTATTGCTTACCGTTCTAAATTCAATGCTTTATCATCTGACTCCAAGCCATGCATCCCATAATTACATCTATGAGTTCAGAATTTCTTGTTTTCTCCCAACTGCCAAACAAGTCACACTTAAATTCTTTCCTCCTACTCCATTCCCACTGGCTATCCAACTCCTATAATCATTCAGTGCTCAGCCAAACTGATGACACTAGAATTCATACCTATTTGAGATTTGGCTTTTTTTTCCCAATGAGATGACAGCACATCTTGAAAAATTCCTTATCTTTCAGAACAAATGAGCTACCCTATGCATAAAACAAGTGCTTGATAAACATTTGTTCAACTTGTAGTAGTAAATACTTGTTTTCATTCATTTGCTGATTGTAGGAAATTAAAATCATCACCTTAGTACACATATACCCATATGACCTTTCCTTTTCTAGAACTGCCTTGATTTTCAAATTCTGAAAAAGAGAACTTATGGAATGCTTAAGACTCTTGCTTTATGGTATCCCTATGAGTATACAATTCAGGTTTATCTTAAGGTGAGTTATTTAATAATGGAACGTGAAACGGGGATCCTGAATAAAGTCCAAAATGGAACTTCCTTCCACTTTCCAGTATTAAATCAGGGTTGCAGGTTTACTATCTAATTAGTAAGATAGCCTAAGAAATAGGTCATTTCCCTTCTTCCTCCTAAGCAAGAACCAAATCGAAGTGGGAATCACTTATCCAAATACCACAATATGAGAAAAAAATTAAGAACAATAAAATCTTCCTTTGTGATACCTTTAAATATCAATTCAGCATTCTTCTTTTGTGACTTATATCTCAGCAAAATTTTCCACTTATTTTACTAACTGAATGAGACAGATGTGATGATGCTGGGTGAAATGTTGAAACCAAAACAGAAGCTTTGACGTGGTCTATGTTACATACCATTAGAAGAGGCATAGAGTGCTTTCAGGAAATAGCCACAGATGTTCAATGTCACCAGTTGATTTCTTTCACAGTGTAAAACTTCAATGTTGTTGAAAATCATAGCATCTAGATCACCAAGTTTATTGTCTCGCAGGTCAAGCTGAGTGACATGCTGCAGAAAGTCTACTTCATCTGCTACTAGCTTCCTAATTACATTCAATCTTGAGGGGAAAGGACACAAATAGAGACTACAATTAACCATAATGCTATAAATAAATGGTCACACTCTAATATGATGGGATAATAAGGACTCAATTCTCTCTGTATTATGTAGGGTTCCATGATTTCTTGAATCTCAGTATCTGACCTTGCTTAACTAGCCAGATTCTCTGGCCAATTTTAGCTACAATTCCAGGAGGCCTCAACCTTCATAATATATTCTGAAGCATAAGTTCAACCACTAAGCCTGGGAGAGGAGCAAGTCTATTGACTTTACCTTAATTCATTTCAAGAGGAAGAAAGAAAAATCCACTTAAGCATTTACTCCCAAGAATTAAGTTGTGAAACTACATATACCATAATGAAAAGAACATAAATAAAACCCAGAACAACCCATTAAGCACATTACAACCATGGTGAATACTTAAGGAAAGGAGAAAGGCATTTCAAATGAGAAGAACAGCATTAAATAAAGCATGAGATGCAAAAACAATAATAAATGGGAGTCACAGAACAAACGGAAGCACCAGAGGTGAGAATGCAAACACACAGATGCTCAACTGCTCAGGACCTACATGGACTACCAAAGTTATCGCCATTTTAAAAATACTACTTGAAAGAGCAAAGTGCAGAAAATACTGAAATCTGGCACCTAGGACTCACTGAGAAATCGCAGAATGAAGGACAAAAATGGGAACCAACAACTCTAGGATGAATCAAGGCATGGAGAAAACGGGCAGAGTCTCCAGCAATGAGAACCAGTGAGCTAACAGACTGCAGTTGCTACGGATGAGCTACCAGAAGATAAGGAAGTAGCAGAGGGGACTAGGAGCCAATACAATAAGGACACATTTATCTTAAAAGGGGAGGAAAAATGGATGAAAATCTAAATTCTCAGTTTACTAGTTTACGCTTAATTCTTTTAAAAACAAACAACAAAAACTATCTACTTTTCATCACAAAGTCAGCAAAGTGCTGAGATGATGTACTTGATGATCAGAAGAGAGTTAATATAAGGCTGAGTACAGGAAAGGTAAAAGTTTCTCTGCAGTGAATTTCTGCCCTTTAAAAAATAATATAAAACCATGGTAAATAAGTTAAGAGAGTATCATAAAGCCACTGAAACACAAGGAGTGACGGCAAAGAGCTGCAATTAGTCAATATGCAAGCACAGCATACGGTGTCTTCAAATCCCTTAGAGGATGTTTTTTGGCTCTTTCTCTTTTGTTATTCCAGGTTGTAAGATGAAAAAACTGGCCTCAACCCAGCAATTTGCCTACTTCCAAACGCTCACTAGATTACCAGAACCTATACACTGAATAAAAAAGAAAAATAAAGCTCAACTTGGATACGACAGACTGTAGGAATTAAACTTTCACTGTGATTTAAATGGCAAGTCTTTAGGCTCACACGGTAATTCACCATGGAGGATAAACCTTTTTATTAGTTATTTTTAAGTAGACATAAAATTGTATGCATTTGTTTTGTACATGTTTGAAGTACATACACACTGTAGAATGACTAAATCTAGCTAATATGTGTATTATCTCACAGTTATCATTTTTGTGGTGAGAACACTTTACATCCACTCTCTTAGCATTTTTTAAGAATACAATATATTGTTAACCACAGTCACCATGCTATACTAGGATGAACTAACTCTCTACGAGGCAAAATGTGGTTAAAAATTCCCTTACAATAATCCCCTTAGTTAATACAGTCATTTTATTTATTTCATAAATATGCACTGAGTGGTTCATATGTATAGAAGGGCAGTGTGAAGGAGCATCATCCTAGTCCAGTCGGCTGCTCAATACTTTGCAACTGTGACTCTGAGGAAGTCACCTCACATATCTGAGTCTAACTCCAATTGGTAAAATGAGGATGGCACCTTCTTTGTCCTACAAAGCAGTTGAGAGGATCAAATGAGTAATATATAAGCTAGCACTCTGTAAATGTTAAGAGGGGCTACGGTGATGACGACGACTATGGTCTATGGTTTTGTGGCAATATCAAGGGGGGATAAGAAAAACAACAACAGAGTTCCTTTATTAAAAATTGTGTATTTATTCTTACATGTGTAGACTTTAATCACCTTCACAGTACTCTCTGTTTGATGTATTACTCCTATCGAGATAGGAGCTTTTCCACTGTTCAAGACAGTTTTTGAACTGGTCAGTTTTGATGCCCCTTATTGTTTCTGCCATTTTTGGTTTCACCTCTTCCACATCATCAAAACATTTCCCTGTGAGGACTTTTTTTCATCCAGGAAACAAAAAAGAAGTTGCTGGGGGCAAGACTGGGTGAAGAGGGAGGGCAGGGCATAGGGGCCACGCCATTTTGGGTCAAAAACTGCTCAACACTTAGCATGATATGGGCAGATATACTGTCAAGGTGGAAGAACCAGTCACCTGTCTGCCACAACTTGGGACTTTTTTCCACAAATCATGATGCAACCTTCTCAAAACCTCCAGATAAAAACTTTGGTTGACCATTTGATGCGGAGGAACAAATTCCATGTGTACTACAAGGGGTCTGCCCTCCAAAAGTTAGTTCCAGTTTTTTGGGGGAGGTCCCTCCTCATAAGAGATTCTGAATAAAACAAAGGTTTTTAAAAAATTTTTTAAACAGATTTCACAATTTAGTGAGGATACTCAGATATGTTTTAGAAAATACATGGACTACAAACATGAGATAAGTGCCATAAATGATGTATTAAAAAAAAAAAAAACACCAGAATTATCAAAAAAGATGCTATAGAAGAGAAAGCAGTCGAGAGGATCAAATGAGTAATATATATGGGATTCATTTGAATCCCATAGATAGGCAGAATTTAACAGATGTAAATGGGAGAAGAAAAGCAGCCTGCAAGGAAGCACAGAATGGCCTCTGAACTGAAGACAAGAGCACAGGGCAAGTTTCAGGTCTGTCTGCACAGTTTGTTCAGGGGTGCAGGGGACATGAGAGTAGAATATGGGTCAGGCAATTAAAATTTATCAAGGACTATAATTACTAAGGAATAGTACTGGAGCTCACGGATAAATAAGGGCAGTGCTTAAGTGATCTATGGTAAAGTATCTATTTTCTAAGCTTATAATTCATCACAGACTGATGTACAGTCCTACTGCACAGAACACAGCTCACTCCACATGCAACTCATTGTGCAAGTTTGACAACACCCAAACCAATTGATTCCTGTATGAGAGTCAACTCATAAAGTAATTGGATACTGTGGCAATGTCACATCATTATAAGTTTCTAAAATATCAACCCCAATTTTTGTACATATCCCACTGTGGCAAAGTGGCGAATCTCATTGTGGAAAAGAAAGCACGGATGGAGGCCACACTTGAGCAGCTCTGTGGATAGAGTTTCATCCTCAAGAGACTCACATGCCAGTGGGCTGAAGCCATATATGAGGGCTTAAATACCATGAACTGGAGAATTGAAGGCTCTAAGCAAGACAGTGCTTGCTTGAGAGGCTGAGCAATGGAAGCAAATGGCTCAGCTAGGAGACAAGAGTAGCAGTGAGAAGAAAGGAAGGGATAAAAGAGAGAAACTAGTTACTAAAAGAATCGATAGAATCTGATAGACTAAAAATAGAGCCAAAAGTTGTGTGTCTGGAAAACCAATGAAGTGATGTTGCTGTCAACAAAAACAGGAATCCAGGACAAAGAACTCACTGAGTAAACAAACTGATATCTGTTTCACATGTATTTGGTTAAATGTGTCAGCAGGGAAAACCAAGGAGAAATTTATCTAACTGTGGCTAAAGTGAAAGAGGTCCCCGGAAGAGAAAGAAGGGCTAGGGAGAGATGATTAAATTGAGATGAAAGGAGAAAGATGAAGTTTGAGAGTACATGCAACCACCAAGGGAAGAAAAATGGACAGAAAAAGACTTGACCAAGGAGAGATATGAGGGCAGCAGCCACATTCTGGACAGAGAGGTGGACAAAGAATTGTTAACACCACAAAGAACAAAAAGATAAAGAAAACAGGTCAGCTGCAATGGCTCAAGCCAGTAATCCCAGCACTTTGGGAGGCCAAGGTGAGAGGACTGCCTGAGCCCACAGGTTCACGACCAGCCTGGGAAACTTGGTGAGACCTCATCTCTACAATAAATCAAAACACTAGCTAGTCATGGTAGTGTGCGCCTATAGTTCCAGCTACTTGGAAGGCTGAGGCAGAAGGATCGCCGGAGCTCAGCAGGTCGATGGTGGGCGTGAGGGTGCCACTGCACTCTAGCCTGGGCGATGGAGTGAGACTCCGATTAAAAAAAAAAAAGAAAAAGAAAATATTAAGATTAAAAGAAAAAAATAATCACTTAATCTGATGTAACATCTCCAATCAAAGGAATAAAAAGACTCAATAAAATTAGTCCTTTGCTTAGAGAAATTACTTCAACAGCTTCAATTGAAAGTATTAAGGCAGAATTAGAGCAATCTGACTTGAGTTTTCCCTCCTCAGTTTAGGGGCCTGGAAGGTCAGTCAACATTTACAGAGTGTCTAATGTCTACTTTGGTATTTAAACATCCTGTAGGTGATGTCATCTAAAAAGACTGAAGTCAGAACTAGAACTCTGAAGAATTCATAGAGTTCTTACTAAGAATCGTTACTTCTTGAAATAGTAGAAGCTAACAAGATCAAGCTAACAAGATAAAGAAAAATGGTGCCTTCTCACATGTACCAGTTAACTCAGAAATCATCTCATGCATGTTTCCTGAGGTCAAGGCAACTCATCATCCTCGGCTCTAACAAAGTTATACCACTGGGTAGTTAAATTAAAAAGGGCCTAGATTCTGGAACATGATGGTTTTCTAAATCCATGTGATTTCAGAGGCAAATATTGTGAAAAATTTGGAAAGAAAGTGAAAGTTTACTATCATGCCACATTCCAAAAAGTTATCAAAACTAGAAAAATTATAGCCATTTGTATTCTCCAAATTAAGAATTCTAGGCCTGCAAATTACTAACACTTCCCCAGGTAAGACAGATCTGATTCTTTTAGTCTGAGGAAAGGTGAAGACAAGCAATGCTCTGAGGCACTGGATTATATGGGTTTCCTAGGCCAAACCATATGAATGGAAAAGAAAGGGGAGCAATTATATTGAGATGGATGAGCTTGAGTTAAGGGTCTAGGGCTATCAACCAAGAGGAAGTTGGTAGTAAAGCAAGGAAAGAACCACCCTTGACGAACAGAGTGTGAGGATGCCAAGAATGACAGCGGAGCAGGTTTCACAAGTGGAGAAGAGTCCTCAAGCAAGTAAGAATAACAAAACATAGCACTTTGTAGGGAATGCTAGAGAATTCAACTCCCTTCTCTCTACAACTCTGTGAATTAAGTTCTGTTATTAACCATAATTTACAGATGAGAACACAAAGGCACATAGACATTAAATATCTATTCCAAACTGAACATGGTTAGTGTGTGGTCATCAACCCCTGGCTAATGGAGGAAACTGTTTGCTTGAAAAAGGATCAAATGGGAAAGATAATACTAAGGTGGAACCTTATGCTGCTTTGTAGGAACTCAAGTCCCTGAAAGGCTCCTGTCTTTTCTGGAAAAGATACAAATTTAGAACAGCTCCCTTCTTGTGTACTAGTTCTCAGTGCATTAGAAACTAAACCTCCCTTCCTAAGGGATGATTACTGAGCATTTATCATGTAGTAAGGATCATGCTAGTGGTTTCCAGTTGGGGTTTAGTGTGATCAGGATTAAAAATGTAGGTGTTCTCCTCTTGCAAGGGGTGAGAGTGGAAGTTCTAGCCACACTTAGGTTTGACAGATGATGAGTCTTGTATTTTTGTAAAGAGTGGTAAATTAAGGGCACAGGCACTTGGATGAAGAGAAAGAACATTCAAATAAATAAGGTAAACAAATACATTTAACTTAATGGATACATTATATTAAGGAAGCTACGGGAAAAAAAATTAAGAAAGGAGACATGCTCAATGATGTCAAAAGTCTTAGATTTACCACGGAAAAGAAGAAATAAGACAGAATGATATTCACTTTGTTCTCAAGGACATGATTTTCATCTACTATAAATAGTTCTCTTGCTCAATGGCCCTATCTATTCATACAAATTAAAACTGGGATCCAATTTGCAAAACAAAGTAAGACCTTCAAGACAAACAATCAATCATCAATGAGAACTTTTTAACAAGTTTCAGGTAAGAGCAACCCCTACTATTAATCATTATTCTGCCCTCTATACAGAAATAGAAAAAGGGCTCTCATTCAACTGACCAGCCTGTTTGCTTTGGCTAATTTCACCACAAAGGCTATATCCATCCCCCAAACATGAGCCAACGACTCAAATGAGATATATTTCTCAAAAATGGTTACCTTAGATCCACATGTTTAATGTGAGGCATTTTTCTTAAAGCCTGTAGCCTAAGGGTCTCCATACAGTTTCCAGACATACAAAGTTTATCCACAGCAGTCAATTTCTCCAATACCTCTGGAATGTCAGTAAATTCATTGAAAGAAAGACCGAGATAACTAAGTTGGTGCATGTTCTCCAACTCAGCAGGAAGGGACTGGAGAAAGTTTCCATCCAACAAAAATGTCTGTAAGCTATTAAAGAAAACATAAGAATTATAAGGAGAATGTATAAATTTTACATCTTTATCATCCACATGTACAGATCATAGTACTAGAAAATGTACTACTCTTTGCAAAATGCCTAATAGCAGAGACTGTGGCAAAAATAGACCAGGGAGAAATTATCGGAGATAAGCATCTTAATCTTTTATTGAAAATGAAAATTATGACCAATTTTCCCAACTTAGATAAGCATATATGGGAACAACATGAGCTAAAGCAGTGGGAAGTAGTCCAAATACTCATCTTTCCTTGTTATTTCTTAAAATTAATTTCAAGTCTTGTAATTCAAAACTACAGAAAGTGAAAGTAAGCACTCCCCTAACGTTTAGACATATTCACCTGTAGAAATTTTCAGTACTAAATAGGATATCTTAATTTTTTACAAGATTCTAAAGAGTTTAAGTCTGACAAATGAACTCTACACAAACCACACAGTGCCTGATATCTTGATTTGGGGCCAAGACTTACATGGCCAACATGACAAGTTAACTAATCTCATGTACTACAACCCGATACAATGTCCTTGGGATTTCTGGATACGTCAGCTAGTAGGGTTTATAATACGCACTTGTGCATAGCTCCCACGGCTGCTGGGACTGCTTGCAGGGCATTGCAGGACACATTCAACTCTGCCAGGGTTGGAATACTGCAGACTGCTAATGGGAAGTCCCCTAAGTGATTATTGGAAAGGTTAAGACTCTTCAACTTGGTGAACCTATTACAATAAAACAAAACAAAAGGAAAAGAGGCAAATGTCACAGATACATATCATCATGATTTTAGTATAATCTTAAAGATAATCTTGATAACATTCAATCAACTGAGAAGGAAAAGAGAGGTCAAAGCAGCAGCAGAGCTGGAATGCACATCTTCTGTCTCTAAGGAGAGTCTTAATAAACGATAGACATTATATTTTAAAACAAACTAGTCGCTCTAAAATAAGTTTGAATATTTGAGGATGTGAGTTCTGCTGGATTAAGTTTTTTAGCTGTATCTCAGTTAGCGAAATGAACACATATGTAAATGGCCTTGATGAGGGAGGAATGAGACCAGGCAGAACTGGAGGGAGCCCTTTTGGACTCTGGTATTCCAGACGAGTCAAAAAATGTCTGTTTCCTATCGCTCACCAAACTGAAATAATAAAAACTTAACAATATATCAAAATGATACTCTAAAGTAACCAGGAGTTTGTGGTTTCAAACTTAAGGGCCAATTATCATTGCTCAATCCCAATATAACACTTGATGCTGCTAACCATGCACACTCCTCCTTGAAAAGTTCGTCTCAATTCGTATTAACATTTTCCTCGAAAGGCCTCTTCCCAGTTCTCTTAAACCCCTGTCCTGTATTACTTTCTTCTTTCTTCTTCATCTCCTCTTCCCTACCCGAAATTGAAGTAATCCTCACAGACATGCTCTTTGTCACTTTCAACCTCTCTCTACACTGTCGTCCTTGGAAATCTTTTTACTGCTGTATGAACAACTTTCCCAGTCCTATCAAACGCCAGCTCCTATCCTGAGCAGCATTTTCCAGCTGAAAACTGAACTTACCATCTTTATTCCAAACTAGCTTTTCTTCCTGTTCTATTTTTGTTAACGATGCTTTCATTTTCTCGGTTGTCCAAGCAACTAAAGCAATTAAAAATAGTTCTCTTTAATTTTTACTTATCTGTAAACTCTTACATTTGGCCCACTGCTGACCTCTACACCATTTCTATGTGAGGTAAGAATCAGATCAGTGACTGCATTATGCTAATTATTTTTAAAACTGCCCAAGCCTAACGCTAGGCAATATGCACTCTGCCTAGAACAGACAGCCACATCCTAAAAATAAATCCAATTCAACCTAATTGATATTTTAAATAAATTATCATGTAACCTACTTGTTGACTTCTATAATAAAAAAATGTTAGGCTTTATTCCAAATAGATAAAAGTTTACTTTCTAGATACACTGTCAGATTTTTTAAAAATATCTGTTTTCTTGGATGGCTGATAGTATTTTAAATAAAACAAAACAAACTTAGGAAAGAATTACTGCTAAATCTAAATAATCACTTTTAAGTTGCCTGTTTCATATTAGAACCATCAGACCTTCTTAAAACAAAGAATGCTTATCCACTATTCTGATTATCTATGATCTACAAAACATAAGCTAGAATTACAGGGTCTATTATTTTTAGTCTAATAGTCCTAAAAGCATGCTTGGGAGACCCCAAAAGAGGTCCCTGAGACCAACCTCTCAGGAGATCTCCAAGGTCAAAACTATTTTCATAACAAAACTAAGATGTCATTTGCTTTTATCATTCTCTTCTCCACCTCAAACTGCCACTCTCATTTGCCTCCAAGTGTTTAGTAGAGATTTCCAGATGTTACACACTGTTGTAAAAGTATACACCTGATTGAATGCAGAAATGGATGAGAATCCAGCTAGACATTAAAAGACTTACAAAAATAGAAAACTACCCTTGCCATTGATTTTGTTTTTAAAAAGTTATTTTTCATTTTAAAAAGTTATTTAAAATGTCATTTGTTAGCTGGGCTCGATGGCTCAGTCTGTAATCCCGCGCCTTTGGGAGGCTGAGGTGAGTGGATAGCCTGAGCCTGCGGGTTCGAGACCCGCCTGGGCAACTTGGCGAGCCCTCATCTCTACAATAAATCAAAATGAGCCAGACGTGGTAGCGCACGCCTGTAGTTCCAGCTACTTGGAAGGCTGAGGTAGAAGGATCGCCGGAGCCCAGCAGGTCGAGGCTGCAGTGGCCAGGAACGGGCACTGCACTCCAGTCTGGGTGACAGAGTGAGACTCCAACTCAAAAAAAAAAGTCATTTGTTAACATTAATGTTTTATTATTGTCCAAATGAATTAATATATAAAAATGTTTCTTAGTTTAAATTTATAATTCACTAAATATCAATATATATAAGTAATATAAATAAAAGCTGCTGGGGTTCTCCATTTTTGAGAGAGTAAAGGAGTTCTGAAATAGGATTACCAGATAAAATACAGGACACTGGCCAGGCATGGTGACTCAGCCTGTAATCCCAGCACTTTGGGAGGTCGAGGTGAGAGGACTGCCTGAGCCTCGGAGTTCAAGACCAGCCTAGGCAACTTGGTGAGATTTCATCTCTACAATTAAAAAAAAAAGCCAGGCATGGTGGTACGCGTCTGTGGTTGCAGCTACTTGGAAGGCTGAAGCGAAGGATCGCCTAAGCCCAGCAGGTTGAGGCTGCAGTAGCCATGAATGTGCCACTGCACTTCAGCCCGCGTGACAAGAGAGACTCCAACTCAAAATATATATATATATGACATCTAGTTAAATTTGGGGTAACAATAAATGCTTTTTAGTATAAGTTGTCCATAATATTGCATGGGGCATACTTATGCTTAAAAAAACCCCAATTCACTGTTGATATGGAATTCAAATTTAGCTGGTGCTTGCTCCCCATTCCCAAATCTAACAACTCTGAGATGAAATGTTGCTCTAGTCGTCTGTTCTAGTCAAATGAAACAGCAACCCATTCTAGTGACTTTTCTTCAACTGACAGGACTAGTCAGATTTGCATGCAATCAAACTGAACTTTTTAAGGTTCCTCTAGGAAGTAAAAAGATCCACTAGACATTATCCAGCACAATATAGTATTCAGACTTCAGAAAGCGGGGTTGAGAGGATTTCAGAGCCAGGAATCACTCAAGTTGGAAGTACTGGCTTTTGAAGAATAGAGATCAATAACAGGGGTGGGAGAGGTGGTTTAATTCATTTAGGGACAAATTCACTAGGGCCTTATCACTACTGAGGATGAAGAAAAGCAGCAGTAAGGTGAAAAAGTAAAATGCAGTGACAAGCTTAAATGGAAAATGAGAAAAAAAGCCTCTTAACAAGTATCCTGCATTTGTTTTATATGCATAAGATCATTTTTAAAATTTAAAATGGCCAACAGCTCTAAATATAAAGAGATACAATTATTCTCTGCATCAACTCAATAACAAAACACTATCAGATCTATGTAGAGAGAACTGCCCTGAGTCCCACAGGCCAAGTGTCTCCAAAGCACTAAGGCATACTTGTGTTTTTTAATGCCAAGTTTCACAGAAAAGCACAGTCAACTAAATACACTTGATAAGCTACAGAAAAGAAATCTATAATTGTGGTCTATTTAGAAACATACCTCAAGGTCCCTTTCAAGCTAGTTATCCTGAGTTCCACATAACAAAGTGCATAACTCTTAGTCAAGAGTAGTACCTTGAGGTAACAGAAGGTCAAAAGTTGGGACAGAAAATCGATAGTAAAATGAAGCTGATAATATCACTACTCTGCCAAATTAATGACATTTAATTTGCATCTTCTACTGTACTTACATCATAAAACGAAGGTAGCATAGTAATGATTCTGTATCCAGACACAAAATGTACTAAACTATCGGGAAGTGTGATCTATTTTCTTACCTTTTCCTTTTTTTTTCTGACTTAACTAAGAGCAAAGTAGGAATAGCACGTACCTTAAAACTGCTATTGAGTGAATTGAGCGACTGTTAGTTTTGCCCCCATATTTGTCTAGCTTCCCTTTTTATCTAGAAAACAGTATATTAGACAAATGCATTACTGTCTACACTTAGCTTTAAATGGATTTTATGGCTACTAAATTTTGAGACATCATCTTCCAAGCTATTCCTCAAGCAAATTATTTAACTCTATAAAACGGGAAGTGAGTGTTTAGTTTCTTAATCAGAAAAATTAAAATGCACCAAATTCACACACTCAACTTCTCTATCTTTATATTAGGGAGACGTAAAGGTTTTTAAAACAGATCATCCACCATTAAAAATGCTTATTTCGTTCTGGCCTCCAAAAAATTAATTGTGATTGAGTGATCCTTAGAAAATAAAGTGGAGCCATTTCTATCCATCCGAGGGCAGAAAAGAAAAAAATATACAAACGCTGCCAATCCTCACATACTTCCTCCTTCTGGACTCGTTTTGTCATGATCATAAGACATACTTACTCTTTTCCCCTTTCTTAGCACCTATTCATTTAGTCTACCCACACTCAAAAATGTACATACAAAGCTCTTTCTGCACCTGAGTTACAGGGAATAGCTATATATACTTGTATATATTTAGGATATAAAAGCAAACAAATAGCATGATGACTATTTGGAGAGATAACATTAGCTTTGGATGCATGTAAATCTTTAGTAATTTTCCCTCCAGGAACTAAGAGTACACATGATACATCTGGAAAACTTGACTGTAAGATAACAGTACGATGAAGTAGTTCTATTTTAAACATACTCCAAACGTGCTTAAAATGAGTGTAACAAATGACACAGGAAGAGGAACCATACTTGCCTTATTCAATTAGTCTAACAGAAAAAAATCAATATCACTTCCTTATTATTCACCACAAGTGGGTCAATTAAAAAAAGATTCCCTAGGTGAATGGATTTTTGTTTCACAGTAACAACCCATGTTTAACTTATTTTTTTCCCTGTGGGAAACATGCTAACACACTTTGGTAATTATTAGGCTTCAGTATTAAGTAATGAAGGAGCTGCTTCAAAGGCTAGACTTGTAAGCCTAGCTCTGTGCTTAGTCCCCTGCCTTGCATTAATTATGCAAAGCAGGCTCCCTAATGGCTTAGAGTGACTCTACCTTAGTGGGGAGTTGCCAGGCTGTTGGTGCTCTGAGTCTCACTGTATTTTCTTTTAAGACTGATTTTA